CTTGAAACAGACCAACTTTAGCCACATTGATTCACAGAACACCTTGAAACAGACCAACTTTAGCCACATTGATTCACAGAACACCTTGAAACAGACCAACTTTAGCCACATTGATTCACAGAACACCTTGAAACAGACCAACTTTAGCCACATTGATTCACAGAACACCTTGAAACAGACCAACTTTAGCCACATTGATTCACAGAACACCTTGAAACAGACCAACTTTAGCCACATTGATTCACAGAACACCTTGAAACAGACCAACTTTAGCCACATTGATTCACAGAACACCTTGAAACAGACCAACTTTAGCCACATTGATTCACAGAACACCTTGAAACAGACCAACTTTAGCCACATTGATTCACAGAACACATTGAAACAGACCAAATTAAGCCACATTTATTCACATAACACCTTGAAACAGACCAACTTTAGCCACATTGATTCACAGAACACCTTGAAACAGACCAACTTTAGCCACATTGATTCACAGAACACCTTGAAACAGACCAACTTTAGCCACTTTGATTCACAGATCACCTTGAAACAGACCAACTTTACCCACATTGATTCACAGAACACCTTGAAACAGACCAACTTTAGCCTCATTGATTCACAGAACACATTGAATCAGACAAACTTTAGCCACATTAATTCACAGAACACCTTGAAACAGACCAACTTTAGCCATATTGATTTACAGAACACCTTGAAACAGACCAACTTTAGCCACATTGATTCACAGAACACCTTGAAACAGACCAACTTTAGCCACATTGATTCACAGAACACCTTGAAACAGACCAACTTTAGCCACATTGATTCACAGAACACCTTGAAACAGACCAACTTTAGCCACATTGATTCACAGAACACCTTGAAACAGACCAACTTTAGCCACATTGATTCACAGAACACCTTGAAACAGACCAACTTTAGCCACATTGATTCACAGAACACCTTGAAACAGACCAACTTTAGCCACATTGATTCACAGAACACCTTGAAACAGACCAACTTTAGCCACATTGATTCACAGAACACCTTGAAACAGACCAACTTTAGCCACATTGATTCACAGAACACCTTGAAACAGACCAACTTTAGCCACATTGATTCACAGAACACCTTGAAACAGACCAACTTTAGCCACATTGATTCACAGAACACCTTGAAACAGACCAACTTTAGCCACATTGATTCACAGAACACCTTGAAACAGACCAACTTTAGCCACATTGATTCACAGAACACCTTGAAACAGACCAACTTTAGCCACATTGATTCACAGAACACCTTGAAACAGACCAACTTTAGCCACATTGATTCACAGAACACCTTGAAACAGACCAACTTTAGCCACATTGATTCACAGAACACCTTGAAACAGACCAACTTTAGCCACATTGATTCACAGAACACCTTGAAACAGACCAACTTTAGCCACATTGATTCACAGAACACCTTGAAACAGACCAACTTTAGCCACATTGATTCACAGAACACCTTGAAACAGACCAACTTTAGCCACATTGATTCACAGAACACCTTGAAACAGACCAACTTTAGCCACATTGATTCACAGAACACCTTGAAACAGACCAACTTTAGCCACATTGATTCACAGAACACCTTGAAACAGACCAACTTTAGCCACATTGATTCACAGAACACCTTGAAACAGACCAACTTTAGCCACATTGATTCACAGAACACCTTGAAACAGACCAACTTTAGCCACATTGATTCACAGAACACCTTGAAACAGACCAACTTTAGCCACATTGATTCACAGAACACCTTGAAACAGACCAACTTTAGCCACATTGATTCACAGAACACCTTGAAACAGACCAACTTTAGCCACATTGATTCACAGAACACCTTGAAACAGACCAACTTTAGCCACATTGATTCACAGAACACCTTGAAACAGACCAACTTTAGCCACATTGATTCACAGAACACCTTGAAACAGACCGACTTTAGCCACATTGATTCACAGAACACCTTGAAACAGACCAACTTTAGCCACATTGATTCACAGAACACCTTGAAACAGACCGACTTTAGCCACATTGATTCACAGAACACCTTGAAACAGACCAACTTTAGCCACATTGATTCACAGAACACCTTGAAAAAGACCGACTTTAGCCACATTGATTAACAGAACACCTTTAAACAGACCGACTTTAGCCACATTGATTCACAGAACACATTGAAACAGACCAACTTTAGCCACATTGATTCACAGAACACCTTGAAACAGACCAACTTTAGCCAAATTGATTCACAGAAGACCTTAAAACAGACCGACTTTAGCCACATTGATTCACAGACCACCTTGAAACAGACCAACTTTAGCCACATTGATTCACAGAACACCTTGAAACAGACCAACTTTAGCCACATTGATTCACAGAACACATTGAAACAGACCAACTTTAGCCACATTGATTCACAGAACACATTGAAACAGACCAACTTTAGCCACATTGATTCACAGAACACATTGAAACAGACCAACTTTAGCCACATTGATTCACAGAACACCTTGAAACAGACCAACTTTAGCCACATTGATTCACAGAACACCTTGAAACAGACCAACTTTAGCCACATTGATTCACAGAACACCTTGAAACAGACCAACTTTAGCCACATTGATTCACAGAACACCTTGAAACAGACCAACTTTAGCCACATTGATTCACAGAACACCTTGAATCAGACCAACTTTAGCCACATTGATTCACAGAACACCTTGAAACAGACCAACTTTAGCCACATTGATTCACAGAACACCTTGAAACTGACCAACTTTAGCCACATTGATTCACAGAACACCTTGAAACAGACCAACTTTAGCCACATTGATTCACAGATCACATTGAAACAGACCAACTTTAGCCACATTGATTCACAGATCACATTGAAACAGACCAACTTTAGCCACATTGATTCACAGAACACCTTGAAACAGACCGACTTTAGCCACATTAATGCACAGAACACCTTGAAACAGACCAACTTTAGCCACATTGATTCACAGAACACCTTGAAACAGACCGACTTTAGCCACATTAATTCACAGAACACCTTGAAACAGACCAACTTTAGCCACATTGTTTCACAGAACACATTATAACAGACCAACTTTAGCCACATTGATTCACAGAACACCTTGAAACAGACCAACTTTAGCCACATTGATTCACAGAACACCTTGAAACAGACCAACTTTAGGGGAAAAAAAAGAAGAAAAAACTCCGACAAAGACTTCCAATAAAAGCATCTTTTCTTATCTTATCTTTTCTTATCTTATCTTTTCTTATCTTACCTTTCTTTATCTTATCTTATCTTTTCTTATCTTATCTTTTCTTATGTTATCGTTTCTTATCTTATCTTTTCTTATCTTATCTTTTCTTATCTTATCTTTTCTTATGTTATCGTTTCTTATCTTATCTTTTCTTATCTTATCTTTTCTTATCTTATCTTTTCTTATGTTATCGTTTCTTATCTTATCTTTTCTTATCTTATCTTTTCTTATCTTATCTTTTCTTATCTTATCTTTTCTTATCTTATCTTTTCTTATCTTATCTTTTCTTATTTTATCTTTTCTTATCTTATCTTTTCTTATCTTATCTTTTCTTATCTTATCTTTTCTTATCTTATCTTTTCTTACCGTAAACTTTTTACAAAATTGTTTTTGAAAAAATAAAGAAAAATAGCAATTTACTTGATATATGGGGAAGAGGGAAAAAAGGGGGGGGGGGATGGGGCTGCGTTTTAAGCCTTGCAAGATAAATAAATAGTGGCACAAGATATGTTTAGTGGCACAGTATATGTTTAGTGGCACAAGACACATTTAGTGGAACAAGATATGTTTAGTGGAACAAGCTATGTTTAGTGGAACAAGATATTTTTAGTGGCACAAGATATGTTTAGTGGTCAAAGACATGCTTAGTGCCACAAGATATGTTTAGTGGCACAGACATATTTAGTGGAACAAGATATGTTTATGGAACAAGATATGTTTAGTGGCACACAATATGTTTAGTGGAACAGGATATGTTTAGTGGCACAGACATATTTAGTGGAACAACATATGTTTATGGAACAAGATATGTTTAGTGGCACAAGATATATTTAGTGCCACAAGATATGTTTAGTGTCACAAGATATGTTTAGTGTCACAAGATATGTTTATGTTTGGACAAAAAAGACAAGACAATCAAGCTGACGTAAAGTGACCAGGTGTCTTCTTCAGCAGACAATAAATATACGCTAGAACAAGAGATAAATATACGCTAGAACAAGAGATAAATATACGCTAGAACAAGAGATAAATATACGCTAGAAAAAGAGATAAATAGACGCTAGAACAAGAGATAAATATACACTAGAACAAGAGATAAATATACGCTAGAACAAGAGATAAATATACGCTAGAACAAGAGATAAATATACGCTAGAACAAGAGTTAATATACGCTAGAACAATAGATAAATATACGCTAGAACAAGAGATAAATATACGCTAGAACAAGAGATAAATATACGCTAGAACAAGAGATAAATATACGCTAGAACAAGAGATAAATATAAGTTAAAGTGGCAACCCTAGGTGACCCTTTTTTGCAACCTGCGCTTACCCTATGAATTTCTTATTTCTTTTAGAAATATAATGTTAGATGTTTATTGAAAATACTAGTTCTATTTTGTCTACACTAACGTACTTATTAACTAGGCATATTTCTTTTTACTAAATTAATTTCTAAATAAATAAATATTATTTTTTTTTACATTTAAAAAGCTGTTTGTTTGTTTTTTAATTATAAAGATAAATTGGACATTTTTAAATTCCATCTGAATATATTATATACTTTACTGCTCAAGGGTTTTCATACAATTTTAACACAAAAAGCGATGACGTCAATCAATTATATTTTCTTTTTTAAGACAACAAAAATGGCGAACGCCATCACATTTAAACTATTGCATTTATGCACATCAATCACACTGGGGAGTTAACCATCGAATGTTTTGAAAAAGTAAGTTTAACGAATCGATTTGATTGCAGGAACATTAGGTCACGTGGCTCCATTCAATCTCAACAGCAAGCTGATTGTAGCGATTCATCGAATAATTCACCGACTCTCGGCGCGTTCAATGAAAATCATGGCTGTTCATGTAATTGTAATGTTACTAGTAATATACAATGATGGCTGTAAATGTAATGTTACTAAGAATGTACAATGATGGTTGTACATGTAATGTTACTATAATGTACAAATATGGCTGTACATGTAATGATACTAATAATGTTCGATGAGGGATGTACATGTAATGTTACGAGTCATGTACAATGGGGGCTGTACATGTAATGTTACTAGTAATGTACAATGACGTATGGTAGAAACGATTTCAATGGACAACTCCGTTAGTTTTATATTTTATTTTTAAAAAGTTGTTGCACCAAACTTGCTTGGTCGCAAGACTGGAAGTTACGGTTATGAAAAAAATAATTAAAACTACCATCAAGTAAGCCTACTGTTATCATCCGATTCAATGGGGTCTCACCTTGTGGGTTTCACTAATAAAAACGGTCCCATCTTGTGGGTTTCACTAGTAGCAACGGTCTCATCTTGTGGGTTTCACTAGTAGGAACGGTCTCATCTTGTGGGTTTCACTAGTAGCAACCGTCTCACCTTGTGGGTTTCACTAGTAGCAACGGTCTCATCTTGTGGGTTTCACTAGTAGGAACGGTCTCATCTTGTGGGTTTCACTAGTAGCAACCGTCTCACCTTGTGGGTTTCACTAGTAGGAACGGTCTCAGCTGATGGGTTTCACTAGAAACAACGGTCTCATCTTGTGGGTTACACTAGTAGGAACGGTCTCATCTTGTGGGTTTCACTAGTAGCAACCGTCTCACCTTGTGGGTTTCACTAGTAGGAACGGTCTCAGCTGATGGGTTTCACTAGAAACAATGGTCTGATCTTGTGGGTTTCACTAGTAGGAACGGTCTCATCTTATGGGTTTCACTAGTAGGAACGGTCTCATCTTGTGGGTTTCACTAGTAGGAACGGTCTCATCTTGTGGGTTTCACTAGTAGGAACGGTCTCATCTTGTGGGTTTTACTAGTAGGAACGGTCTCATCTTGTGGGTTTCACTAGTAGGAACGGTCTCATCTTGTGGGTTTCACTAGTAGGAACGGTCTCATCTTGTGGGTTTCACTAGTAGGAACGGTCTCAGCTTGTGGGTTTCACTAGTAGGAATGGTCTCAGCTTGTGGGTTTCACTAGTAGAAACGGTCTCAGCTTGTGGGTTTCACTAGTAGGAACGGTCTCAGCTTGTGGGTTTCACTAGTAGGAACCATCCATTTCAGGTTTTCTCAGCCATCAATTTCTGGAGGGCGGTGGGAGCGCTAAAAGTAAGTTTTCTTTTAGAAATTAATTGTGTAACAGCAAAATATATTTTTAAAATTAAATTTATGTTGCAGTTTATTCAATTGTTCAAGTGACAATTATTTCTCGGATGTTATGCTCGGGGGGGGGGTGGGAGGGGGAGGGGCGGTATTTTCATTCCTATGTCATTTTATCCGTTTAAATTAAAAAAAAAACTAATTTTAAAACCTAGCGGACATCCTTATAATTTTTCAAAATTAAGATATAATAAAATATTTCTCAAAGTCAAGTGGCGTAGCAAGTAATAGTGCTTCTTAAGTCTGGTAAGCATGCTTAAACATGACTTTAAAACATTGAGGGAAAGAAATCTTCTCTTTTAAATTGAAAAGTACAATAGAAAAAAGCAGGTCCTTAAAGACAATTCGTTTTCTAAACTTTGAGCGATCCTTATATTTTCAAGCTCCGAAATATGTAGTGCGCATCGTTTTGGCAATTGGTCAGATTCACAATGAAGTTTTCCTCTCCTTGAAATCCCCTGGCAACTTCTAGTTCAGTGACCCACAACCTACTTTCGATCAAATTCAATTCTAAGAAGGTCATCCTAAACGAGCGTCCGAATCTCTGTGACCATCAAGCCAGACCAGACAAGCCGAGATGGCAAAGATTCCACATCACAAGTGCTGGCGCGAACAATCAGCGTGTGTACATCTAGACACCCAGAGGGCGTAAGTAGCTTAAGGGAGTGAGGGGGGGGGCGTGTGGTGTCGGGGGTGTGAGGGTGGAAAGCATTGGTAGAAAGGCAGTCGAATGCTCTCTGTTCACCCCATGTTAACTGACTCTGTGCTTCTCTGTCTACATCGAATGATGCAATATTAGGACAATACTAGACAAGCTTACGTAATTTTAAAGTAATAGATTGACGTACAATGCTTAACTATATTTAAACTTTGCATTAAGTGTTAATAGTTATTCCTCCAAACGACTCCACCTGACTTTTCAACACATGGAGCCAGATAGTCCAAATGGTTTTGTTTCCAGACGAGCAGAGTAGGCAAAGTATCTTGATAAGAACATTGCTTACCGCAACAGGCGATAGCTTCTCTGTGGTGTTAGTGAAAGTTAGTAACTTAGTAACTAGTAAGGGAGAGTATTGAGCAGCCCTGCTACCTTCCCCCCTCCTCCCGATGCATCAACTTAGCGCGCACCCTGTACCATGATCTTGTATAGCGGCTAAGGGATGTTCTTTCGGTACATACCGCTACCATCACATTCGCTACATACATGAGCTTGATCATTGTGGTACAAGTACCATTATATTAGCTGTCCGGGGTAATTCATCAGCGATCTTTAAGAAAATGTGTCACAAATTATTGAGATCTGTGAGGGTGACACTGAATGCAGATATGATTATTGAAAATTGTAGGCTGGAGTCATTATTTTTTTTAAAACTATTTGTCGAACTGTTTTCATATACTCTTAAAAACTTGAGGAGTCTAGTATTTTGATGATTACGGTTGTTGCAAACATCTCATTAAGCTCCCACCTTCCACCCCCGTCTCTCAGGCCCCCGGTGACGTGCAGCACATACCAGTGTCACTTCTCCCGCCCTTACGACCCCGGCAACACCTGGAAGTGCTACTACACCGAGCAGAAGAAACAAGAGTTTCAGCAGCGGAAGGAGCGTCTCATCTACCAGGTCTCGCGGTACGCCAAGCCGGACATCCTGTGCCACCTCAGGGAGCATCTGGACAAGAAGGAGAGAGCCCTGCCCGGGCTTTGCTGCTGTGGGAACAGGCGCTGCTCGTCCAAGCTGACGAACGAGCTGTGCTGCTCCAAGAGGTGGCGCGACTGCGCCAAGTCTGGGATGTGCGTCTACACGCGGAAACCTTGCTGCTGGGCGAAGAAAGGCTGCTGCTGGAAGGACAAGACGTGCTTCTGCAACCAGTGGAGCAAGAGCGACGGCACGACCACCAGCTACAACGAGCTGGAGCGCAGCCTGGGCGGTCTTGGGCGGAGCTTCGACGAACTTGGGTGGAGCTACGAGGACCAAGGGAGAAGGTGCGGTTATCAATGGCAGCCGTGTGGAGACGGCTGGCACCGTGCTAATTACGAGAACACGCAATGCCCGGCTGAGTTCGCGCTTCTACCGTGGCCGCAGCAAAAAATGGCGCTGGCTGACGTGCACGATTCATCTCTGTCCACCAAATCCATCCCTCAGTGTGTTCACTTACCGTGTCCGTCCACCAAAACACAACCAAAGGCCGGCAACACCAGCTGCGGCAACTCGGGAAACGGATTCGGGACGATGTATATTTCTGGAAAGAAAATGTATTAACAATTCCTTACAAGCCAAATAGGAAGTAAATAATTTATGATCCTTTCACAACAATATATATATATATATATATATATATATATATATATATATATATATATATATATATATATATATATATATATAACATAAAAATATGTAAAACATGTATTTAAAAAAGAATAAATCAATTAAAATGACGTTAATACTTTCATTAGCAAATAAGAAGTAAAACAACTCTCCTATCAATACCTCCATTAATCTGTCCTAAAGGTATCACGTAATATTTCGTTATCGGGACTGAATTATTTATCATGTAGATGTTCATGCTATGTTCGACGCATTTCAAACTAATTCACAGAACTAAGAGCACTAATTATTATTCTTACTACTCTTTTATTTACTCGACAATTTCCTACTAGGAAATTCAGTGACACTTTATTAATCATTATGTTTGTTTTAGTAACAAAATTGTCTCTTGAACTTTAAAGGCTGACACGCCTAACATGAAAAGAGTCCCATGTCTCGCATGAATGCAAAACATTGAACTACTTTGTTATTAACGAGATCACATTCAAATGCCTTCTTCGTTATGGTGGCATTGGGTGTGAAAGGAATTTTATATTTCAAGGACATGGAAGTGATGTCAAAGGCTTTAGACGTGGCAATCACGCGGACTCACTGCCTACTGGATGGAGAACGAACTCTCAATCCATCTGCAGTGGTCCCAGGATGACTATCTTGATAGTCCATGGGATTTTAAGTCACTAAATACGTTGCCGTTAAACTGTTGGTCTAATTTTAATGTGTGCCACCTGCAGGAAATAGTGTTGGGATACATAAGACACCTATGAATTTTAGAGCTTTTGGAAAAAGCACATACAGAACTAGTACACATAATAAAACAGTATGACTAAATAATGCTCATTCATAAAACAGAGAGTTTTCTTGTTCCGTTTGCGCGAATATTTGTAAGAAGTTTGAACACATAATGGCAAGGCTTTTAATGTCAATTTAAATACAGCTTAGTGAACTGTTTGTAAGTCAATAAAACCCATCTAATTACAACCTCAAGGCGTACTGTTTGCTATTGCTTGAACTTACGGAAAGAAGTCATGATGACCTTTCATTTGTGTACTGACTGATACGTGGCACATGATTGGTTCTTAATGCTTCCTTGTGTTGTGAGGGAAGGAGGAGGGGAGGGTGGTGAGGAAGGAGGAGGGGAGGGAAGGATGAGGGGAGGGAAGGGTAGGGAGGGAAGGTGGGGAGGGAAGGGTGGTGAGGGAAGGAGGAGGGGAGGAAAGGAGGAGGGGAGGGAAAAAGGAGGGGAGGGAAGGGTGGTGAGGGAAGTTGGGGAGGAGAGGGTGGGGAGGAAAGGGAGGTGAGGGAAGGAGGAGGGGAGGGAAGGGTGGTGAGGGAAAGTGGAGGGGAGGATGGTGAGGGAAGGAGGAGGGGAGGGAAGGAGGAGGGGAGGGAAGGAGGAGGAGAGGGAACGATGAGGGGAGGTAGGGGAGGGAAGGGTGAGGAGGAAGGAGGAGGGGAGGGAATGGTGGTGAGGGAAGGAGGAGGGGAGGGAAGGATGGTGAGGGAATTTGGGGAGGGAAGGTGGGGAGGAAGGAGGAGGGGAGGAAGGAGGAGGGAGGGAAGGGAGGGGGAGGGAGGGAGGTAGGAAAGGGTGGGGGGAAGGGGAGGGAAGGGTGTATTGAGGGAAGGGTGGAGAAGGAAGGGTGGGGAAGGAAGGGTGGGGAGGGAAGGGTGGGGATGGAATGAGGAGGGGATGGAAGGGTGGGGATGGAATGAGATGGGGATGGAAAGTAGGGGATGGAAGGGAGGGGAGGGAAGGGTTGGGAGGGGAGGGAAGGGTGGGGCGGGAAGGGAAGAGAAGAGTGTTTTAGGGAAGGGTGGGGAGGGAAGGGTGGGGAGGGAAGGGTGGGGAATTGCTGAAAAAGATAGCATAACAAGCTAAGTGATAAATGTATTGCTCAAATAGCTATTTATAAATATAGGATAAAGATGCTGTGTTGCAGTTATAGAGGGGGGAAAGAGGGGAGGGTTAATTCCTGTATTTTGTTCAAATAATTTATCAAAGCGTCAAGATGTCTGCCTAATCGAATCTGTCTATTCCGTGATAGCAGGCGTTATATGTCAGTTATTGATATGTTTCCTGATTACTGGACACGCTGGAATCGTCTGAGCACAAACTCCAGTCAACAATAGAAATGAAAGACTGTGAATCACGAAGCTTGTAGGCTGGGAATCGGAAAACGATTTACAAAAAAAAAAAAAAAAATTAATTAGAACCTCATTAGGGTTTGCATTAGGGTTTGTCATTTCTAAGACTGGAAAACGTCTCATATTACTATTTTTAGATTTTTTTCATCAAACAGGTTCTAAAAATTTATTTCCGCTTATGTATCATAGCAGTAAAAAAAATTTTTTTTCTAAAATCTTTCATAGAATAAAGTTGGAAACATGTTTTCATCTAGGTGAAGACCCACTATGCTGGCTCACATTAAGGTAGAAGTACCGAAGAGCTGTTGAGAGATTGGCCAAACGGAATACCAGGATGTTTTAAGTAATACCTTATTGAGATTGGCCAGACCGTAAGCCAGGATGTTCTAATGATAGATTTCCGCCAAAGCCCAGTGCTTGACAACAGTTCTTATCACAAACCACACCACGTTTAAATGTATTGTATTGTTCAGAGCCAGAAATTACATCTTTTTATTATTCATTTTATCTTAATGAAAATTTTATACTGAAACATTACCTACTACACTGGCGGGACCGGAAACGGAAGTTCCCAGCATTGTTGTAAACACAGGGACACGAAATCCGTTTCCGGTATTAAATTTCAAATCTGATTGCATGTTTTTATTGATTTCATACGAGGGAAAAAAAGACTACAAATAACAACATACCCCCCCCCCCCAAGAACCCA